TTCTTTATTTGTCTAGACTAACCCTAATCCCTCACATTGCTACAAAACATGATGAATCTATTATTAAAGATAAGCAAAGAAAATGACGATTAAACAAACGCCTTACCCGTTCTAGAGTTACTGGTAGACAAAATAATAAAGAACTACGCTTGAAATGAACTTATCTGGAGGGTTTTTTTTTTATCTTATGTTTTATATCTATGTTTATTTTATTTTCACCGAGTTCTCCAAATTATACTATCACCACTACCACAATTATGCCTCCGCCTATTTTTTAACAAATATAAACATTTAATTCTGTACTATCATTCACTTCTCTAGGAGTTAATATAAATATTTATCCGATTCTCTGAGAAACTTTCATGAATATTTAGAGGAATGTTCAAACTTGAATGTACAGTACGGCCAATTTCATCAACTTTATTAATGGAAAAATATAGTAGTTCTGTCGTGGCCTTTAAAACAATACTTACGACCGTTTTATGGTTGAGTTAACATTGTCGTTCATGATTCTATTTTAGAAGGGTATACCAATGCTGACATTGACAGAAATATAGTCTTGCGTGTTCAAACTTGAATGTACAGTACCCCCAATTTCATCAACTTTATTAATGGAAATATATGCAGTAGTTCTGTCGTGGCCTTTATAACAATACTTACGACCGTTTTATGGTTGAGTTAACATTGTCGTTCATGATCTATTTTAGAGGGGGATACCAATGCTGACATTGACAGAAATATCATTTTGCGTTCTTCTTTTACCAGTATCCCAAGGCATAGGCATATCATCTTTATCAGGACGTAATGTGTTTTGTACACTACTTTGTTAATCCGTCATCACTTTCATCTACAACCCTAAATGATATAAAATTATACATTAATTATTTCCTCTCCAGACGACCACCCAGATTTATTTTGTCGCGTTTTCCATCAAAAATTAAAATGTCAACAAGGATTTGCTCTTAATTTTATCAAATACATAATAAATAATTCTCATTATTTTTTAAAAAAATTATACTAAATTTATATTTCAATAAAAAAAATATCTTAAAAAATATATAAATAATTTGCATATAAGTTTCATTAGTGTTTAATGACATTTTTGTAATTTAAATAGACAGCATTTTTTTTTTTACTTAACATAAAAAAAATATATATCCCTTATCAAATTCTTTGAAAAATAATTTCAGAAATGACATACATTAAATTTATCTGAAAAACAACAATAACCCTATATAATAAACAACATATTTTTTAGATATAATTTTAATTGATCATATTACAAAAAAGTATAAGAGTCGGTTATTTTTATTTTATATGTCATGATTTTCTAATAAGTGGTTGCCCAGGCCTTCCCAGTTTCCCTTATTATGGAAATTTACATGTTTTTTTTTCATATTAGACTAATTGGTAAATCAGATATTTCCCGAAAAATTTAACTATCTCCGAGGCGGGAAAAAATTTTCAAAATTATAATGGGTAGAACTGGGCTTAGAACCTCAAAATTAATAATAGCTTGCACCTGACTTGGGAATATCTTTTACAAATTATCAAGGGTTGAGCTGGGTTTGATAAACTTTTTTAAAATTATAAGATCTTGGATGCTTCCTAATATTGTGAGCTTGTACCTGGCATGACATCTATCGTAAAAAATGAATAAATATCTCATTCCCCGTCATTTTTGACGGGTTTTCTACTAATATATTTAAATAATTAATAACCATTATTGAATCTTCCAAAATTCCATTCCATATTCAATATCCTTCGAACAAGAAAAATCCTACTTGTTAATTAATAAAGCCAACTTTCTCATAAAGAGTATTGCATGAAGAATGAATTATTTAATCGATTTTACACTCAGCTGGGAATCCGAATAAAAAGTTGTCAAACTTAAAAAAAATATAACGTAATATCTAAAATAACGCAATATTCGAAATAAATTAATCTTCAACATAACGCAATATTCGAATTAGCCGAAATAAAAAAACCTTAACAACCGAATTAAAAAATAGAAATAACACTGAAATATATAAAAAAAATCCGTAAAATATTATCAATATATTTAACTAAATTTGACAAAAAATATAAATATTCCGAAATCATTTTTTTAAAGCAGAGGGAACAGTATACATGAACGCACAAATGGCCTATCTTAGAAAAAGGATATGCAGTAAATTAATATTAATTGTATTTATATATTTGAAATGGGAAATTCTTAATAATATTAATACGTAATATAGGACAAATCAGGGCCGTAGCCATAGAAGGGGCCTTGGAAGCAGACCCCCCCCCCAAAAAAAAAAAATTTTGGCCCTCAAATCTGGCCACTTGAAATAATATTGACTCCAAATATAAAAAAAATTATTTAGTTATTAAATTTTAATTCACCATTAACAATTAAATCTAAATAAAATTATATAAAATTTCTAGAAAAATATTATCTACGAATTAATAAATAAGTTGTGGAATTTTTTATATTTTTTACATAATAATTTAATATTTATAAATTTCTAACTAAATTAATTAAATTAATAATTATCTTTATTCATTACTAAACATATATATGGCTCGAGTTCTACCCTCATATAACCTCATATCTGGGTTACAAGGTTTGTTGATATCCATGAGAAAAAAATTTCTTAATTTTATAAAAGATGGGCCTTCATATAATTCACGTGCGCTCACCTTTGGGCAGGTCCATGACCAACGTGCAAATAAAGATAAAGATAAGATACAAGTTGTAAAAACCTGAGCATATTTATTCGTTATATTTTTAGTGAAGAAATTCAAGAAAATCTAATAGGAATCATTAATTAGAATTTCTTTCTGCTGAAAAATAACGAATTGTATTTTAAAGCAATTTAATAAATTAAATATTAATTCAACGAATATAATAAGCCAGGCATATGATGCGCAACATGTCTAGCCGAAATATAAGAGTACAAACTCTGCTTCAAAAAAATTAATAAAAAAGTGTCTTATTCACATAGCTATGACCACAAGTTGCATAATAATATTATTATCAATTCTTATTTATTAATTTATATAATGTATTATATAATTTTTTTAGTCGTTTTAATAACGTATCCTATAAATATACTACCATACTCTTAAGTGACTTTTAGATTAGAGGTAGACTGACCATTTAGAAACATCTCGTATTATTTATAAAATTTTGAGGTTATTGATGAAGTATTTTACTTTTCTAATAGAACTATTAACTCAAAAGTTTCCATTTATGATTAAGTCGTTCGTCTTTTATCTAAATGTGTTAATATAAATTACATTATATTAGCTATTTTAATTTAGGAGGTATTATCAACAATAGATTCTAAATAAGTATCTACAGTCAGTAAATACTAATATAGTCGATGTTAAAAATTGTATTGATTCCACTATATTAATATATTAAAAAAATAATAAAATAAGTGATAATTCTTTTGATTTGATTAGAAATAAGGCTGTGAAACTTATATCAAAATTTAATCTCAACCCTCAAAAACATCAAGTGCGTGTAAAACTCCTACATTCAAGATTTTTTAATCGATATCAAATGGCATTTTGATTGTGAAAAGAATTGAAGTTCTTTAAAGAAGAATTATTATAAAATTATTGATAACTTTGTAGATTGTTTTTTAGATATATTTACACATGATGATTAAAATCTTCCATCATGTTTTAATACATTTTTCCCCCTTGACCCTGATAAATATCAGATAAAATGACTCCATTAGAATCATTATTAAACTCAAATATGGAAACGGTACATCGTGAAATGAAAATATCAAAAGGATTTTGGCTGCAGAAGTTAAAGGAACATAATTTTGCAAATATGGCACGTATAAAAAATATCATCTTACATTTAAAGAATTATTACTCAGCATATAGTTGGGTAAAGGCTAAATGTCGGCGAAATCGCTTCAATCTTTAGATATCTGCCGGGGAAATCCATTAAAATGCATTCTAATTTATATTAGTTTCTTCCAAATTTAAGCAGCCATCTTTTTAAGAAAAACCCCGAGGATAGTTATAGTTTTTGGCTAAAAACTTGGTTAAGCAGCTAAAAAGTTTAAATGGCTAAAAATATAGTAATTACTTAAATAAACTTAACTCAGCACCATCATGTATCAGAGACTTTTTGTGAGTCCTCATTCTCTACATTAAAGAGAGCTCATCGAGCACTAGAGAATCGATGAAAAAACGTAAACAAAATTTTGTATTAATTATTAGTAAAAAATAAAACTGAATTTAGCTTTTAATTCATTTATGATGAATTCTAAAAATTAAATTGTCGTTTACAAATTTACAATAAAATAGCAAAAAATTTCCATGGAAACTTTTTGTTTCATTTTAGAAAAATATTGGCACCCTTTCCTTAAGTAAATAAAATAAACAGTTGGCGTCTCTCAGCTGAAAATTCAACAATACTTTGATTTTGAGAGAATACATTTCACAAAACTTATTATACATTTTATTTTAATGAACAATTTTCCACTTCGTTATTACAACTAACACTGTGCCCCCCCCTCACGATTCTTCATATATTCATCCTAGTTTCAGAAATTTCAATATTAGTGATACATTTTTATAAATTGTTTTCAGCAAAGATGCCTATTTTGAGGGGGGGGGGGGAGGTCTCTTGTGGTTTTTCATAGCTACGTCCCTGCAAATTTTTCACGTACAAATATATTTTTGTTGAATTGAAAGATACTGGAGTTATCATGTAATTATATTTTGCCTTATATGAAATTAATGTTTTAGATAATAAGTTGCTTTCAAGAACCTTAATTATAAATCGAGAGAAATAGTTAACCCCCCCCCCATTATTAATAGGGCAATAATAAATAATTTTCTCTCTCCCACGACCTATCAAATAAATGTTAAATATGAATAATGGTTGGTATAGGAAGTCCGATAGGCTCAAAAATAGACATCTAAAGTGCGCCATGGTTTTCTTAAGTCCATAACATACATTTATTGTACTATAAATATATCTTTCATTCATTATAGCAACCATTTTGAATTTGGTGTATGACTCAATTTCTTCCACCAAATTTATTGGCATTATTTGCCCCGAGAGAACCCATACCTTATCTTGCACCTCTTGTAAAATTATCACATGAACGGAGAAGAATTCCTTATTCTGGAATCGGAAATTTTGTCAAATTCTTTGATGTACATTTACTCAAATAATAAAATTTTATAGGTTTTTTTGCAGCCACTAAAAGAGTTTCCTCCTCCAGTTAAACAAGAGACAAGAGCGGAAAGAAGAGAACGCAAAGTATTTATATATGCACATATGTTTTATCAATTTTTATTTATAGAGACGGGAAAAAATTGAACAAATGGCATATGTTATTGAGCAAGGAATTGCACTATGTATTTTCATATGTTCAACCTATTATATAAATATTTTTAGGGAATCCACTTAATAACACTCGATCTACTCAAGATCCATATAGAACACTTTTTGTAGCTAGAATTGTAAAAAACTATTTTTTAATAATATAAATAACCCTTGTGTATTTAGAATTTCGACACATCTGAATCTAAACTTAAAAAGGAATTTTCAGAGTTTGGTGCTATAAAAAAGGTATAATAATTATATTATAGTCAATTTTTAAATTATATGTAGATTTATTTAATTCATAATAAAATAAATGGAAAACCATTGGGGTATGCTTTTGTTGAATATGATCATGAAAGAGACATGCATGGTAGAATATATATTTCATTTAATACATTATTAAGAATGAGAATTATTAATATATTATAAATAATCTATATTTTATATATTACTCAGAATGAGTTTGAATGTTTACAATTTTCTATGGCTCTATTTATTATCATGCTAAACTCCGCATCCTCATAAAATTAGGGTTGATTATTAAGGTAAGGCAGGTAAATTATTGAAATTTTTGTTAACATGTTATCTTAAAAATATATAAATTTTAATCCAATATCATGAAAATGGATATTTATTCATAAGGATTAAGGTAAAAAAATTTTACTCTGTTTAACTCTACTTTTTATATAGGATTTAATCTTAAAAATTATTTTATATGGATGTAGCTGCTTATAAAAGGGCAGATGGTAGAAAAATTGATGGTAGAAGAGTAATAGTTGATGTTGAAAGAGGGAGGACTATTAAAGGTTGGCTTCCAAGAAGATTTGGTAAACAAAAATGATTGTTTATAATAATTTTATTATAATCATTTAAAGGGGGAGGGTTAGGTAATAGCCGAAAAGGTCCAAATGATGCAATCACTCCAGAAACAGCATCAAGACATGGTAGCAGGTAAATACAAAATGTTATTTTAAAATTATAATTAACTTAATATACCATTCTTCAACAAAAAAACCTTCAATTTCTCAACACATAATTTAAATTAAAAATAAACATGTATAAGATGTATTTTGAAATTACAATATAATCCTTTATTTATATAAATAAATTTGAGGCATATAACAACATTATATTTAATCATAATAATTCCCCAGATTTTAAATGAAATGATTAACCTTTGAGAAAAAGTATACTTGATCATTTGTGAAAGATTATTGGTTTTTAGAAAATTTACTGATTTTTTTGTGATATTGGGTTTTTAAAGATATGGGTAAGTGCAAATTAATGTAAGTATTTTGCATCATTTTTTAGTAATATTTGATTGGTCAAAATAAATTGGCACAACCTTACTATAAACAAACCATTAAATTTTAAATTGATGAATATATTTAATAAAGTAATATAAATTAACAATTATATCTCATTTGATCTAATATATGGTTTAAATCTTTAAATATAATAAAAATAATTAGAATAGGAATGTAATTTTATATTTAATCCAAGAAGATAGCATTTAATATATTTTATTATAATATAACAAGCCAATAATTTTTGGGTCAATCTTGTAGACTTATATAATTATATATTCTTATTAATAATCTCAAAATTTAAGATAGAATTTATTATATTAAATAGTGTACTTATTTTGTAGGTAATATAATTAAAATAATAGGAAAAATTATGTTAACTGGGGCCATCTCTATCATATATGTGACATCTTGAGGCTTAGATAATTATTTTTGGCTAAAATCTTGATTTATCTATTTTAAAAATGCACCTAAATTGATGTTTTTGAAAATGCAACACCACACATCATTTGATTTGCAGCAAGAAAATGATTTACAAATATTTAATAAGTCACATTCATCCATAAATAATTTTTATATTATAAAAATAAAAGAAGTAGAAAATTTGCAGTGCCAATATTTCTGATATTTAAATTCAATGCATAACAATAAAATAGGGAATAATAAATATTTTAAGTTTGAGATTTCTTCCATATCAGCATTTGTAGAAATTGGCCATTGATAATGGCCTAGATCTAAAAAAAATTTCCCACCAGGTCATGGGATCTGGCTAAAAAATAGTAACAAATATTCAAATATAAATAATGCACAATTTGCAGCTTTTTAAAGATAACTTTTTGCTATATACAAAATGTTCTCTTAAGAATATAGAAAAGACTAATTAAAATTTTGAAATTAAACTTTTTTATATAATTAAATTTTATCTGATGTCTCAGATCAGCTATCAAAGTCTTATATTTTCACTCAGAATTGGAGGATGGCCAACAAACTTTTCCCTCCAATTGAATAAAAGGATCGATTTTGCCTTTATTAATTTATATCTAGAAATATCAAAAATATTTATAAAATCAATTTAATTTACTTCTGGATTTTATATAAAATGGAAAAGTATGCATTAAATATTTTGAATAAATTATCTTTTGTTTCTCCTCAATCATAATTTGAATAGAAAATAAAACAAATATTGCCCTAATGATGTTAGTATTTGCTATAGCATTATTTTATTTACAGGGAAAAAGATAAAGACAGGCACAGGGCCTCCAGTCACAGCAAGCGTAAAAGAAGTCGTTCACGTTCAAGGTTACCTAACACTATTAACTAATGTATTATTCATTTTTATAATATATGAATTCTAATATTTCCACAACCCAATATTTTAAAAAAGGAGCCGAGAAAAGCGTAAACATGACCCTATTCCTAAGAAGGAACACAATGGTTCTCCCGAAATTAAAAAGGAGAAACTCGATGGTGAGCAAGTCGATCTTAAAAAGGTTAAGAAGGAAAAGAAAAACAAAAGAAGTCGTAGTAAGGAAAACAAAAAGCGTCGAAGTCGAAGCAAAGAAAAAGATAGGTCCAAAAAAGATCGTCATCGGGACAAGGATAGATCATCCAAGTTTAGAAAATTATTTTACAATAAAAAATTTAGGCTTGCTATGGGTTATTTTACAAAAAAACTATCAAAAATAGTACATTGAATAATAAATTTGGCCCTATTTGCCACATGAATTTAATATATTTTTGGGTATCACAAAGGAAATTTTGTTTGATTAACACATAAATTTTCTTTTATTGTCTGAGCTCTAGCTAATTGTCTTTTAAAAAATTGGCACATTACTTTAACTTATTTTAGATTTACTTTGCAAATTAATTTTATTTTCAGGAAACTGGTATCTGACGATAGCAAACAAAGCACATTACCTCTACAACCAAATGATATTAAAAAAGAAAAGATGGATCCTGGATATGACAAATACATAGGCAATGATTTTGTGTTCAACAACTCTAATGATCAACCACAAGATATATCTGAACAAAATAACAATGAAATGGATAGCTTAGAACGCTATTATTATAATACGAATGAAGAGAATGGAGACAATACAGATGTAACTATGAACGACAATATTGTAGAACAACAGAATAAAATTAATCAAATTTATTGATACAATTTTCTTTTTTTATAGATATGGTTATATATTTAATTTATGTATAATATTTAAATGGTTGTAAAAAAAATCCTTATATATAATACATAGTCTGTGATTCTGTGAATAAAAATAAAGCCTGATCATTTTATGACAATTTTTGTAGTTTAAATATTATTTTATTGCATAAGTGCAGGTTGATGCTAAAAGAGAAATTACTTAGGCGAAATCGTCATTAATTATTGATTTTTCAAAATTTAATAACTATAATTTTAGACGAATAATACAGATAACTTATTTAATTAATTATGGAACTTACATAGATGGGATGGGCATCATTTAATTTAAGTCAACTGTAATATCAATGACTAATGTAACCAGAATTTTCAATTATGCTAATTAAATTTAGTTTAAGAAAATATATAACTAACTTAAAAAACCCCGTCTTTTTAATTTTCTTTTGTAATATGGTGGGTATAGTATGGATTGGCGTTTTAATGGGTGTGCTTAGATATGAGTCAGCTGTAGCTCTATTTTGTTGGTTTGCCCAAAATTGTCGAGTTCCTCAGCCTTCGAATCTTTATCATAAGAACTCGATCTAGAGCCGATAATTTACTCATCGCGAATCAGTCCTGGTATATAATAATTAATAAAAATAATATGATAATTTTAATAAATTCCTTAAATTTTATTAATTTTTTTCTTAAAATACATGCATTTTCTTAAAATGAAATAATAATACATGATCTTTATAGCATAATTTGTAAATTTAACATTTTGTTGAATATAGTTTGCATATTTAAATTGAAGCAAATAAAATAATTAGATATTCATATACTAGAGATCTAAGACAAAAGTATATAATATTCTGGGTGATAAAGCTCTGGAAATTGATACAAATGGATATTCCAAAAGGGGTTATCGCTCAATTTGAGCCGATTTTTAAAAATGGCTAACTCAATATTTTCCAAAAAAATATTTCGCAAGCCTCTAGGTTTTGCTTATAGATGGCCAAAAGCTTCAATATTTATTATCAAAATCTCGAGGCAGATGCAATATTTTTCTGGTGTAAATATTAAGTTATTTTTTTTAAAAAATAGACTCGAATGGAGCAATTTTTGCATCCTAATCAAGGGTACCCACGAGTTTAAAGGATGATAGATCATGGAACAGTATTGTGAAAAAAAATCACAAAAGAAGACCGGTAGTTATAGAAAACTTACTAGGAAATAGGAAATATGTAAAGAAAAAATTGATCGGGTAGGTTGAAATCAGGGTTGTGCATTTGACCGGTCAAATACAATTCGGTCAATTGACCGATATTTGACCGGTCAAATATGGTCAAATTCAAATAAATGTTTTTTACACCAATATTAACTTTATTTTGCATTAATATAATATTATAATAAATCTATGTATAATAATAAATATCATAATATTTTTTAATTCATTCTATAGTCAATGTTTCACCCTCCGTGGCAGAGTCTTGTTCCGATTCATATTCAATATCATTATTTTCTTTAATATTTTTAATCAATCTTAAATTATGATACACTCTTACTAATTTTCCTGCTGTAGAAGCCTTTAATCTATTTCTGTTTTTCGTATGAATATTGCCCCAAACCGACCAATTTCTTTCCGAAGAAGAAGTCGAACTAGGAAATGTTAGTAAAATATTAGCGACTTCTCTTAATGGGCAAGGTGGGCAAAATGCATTCCACCAACTTGAGGCCGAAATTTGATTGTTTCTTATGGAAGTTACAACTTTCCACATATTATGGCTATTAAATATACCGCTTTTGCTTCTGAAATTTACTATATTACTCAAAATATTTTGATTATCACCACCTTGTAAAATACCCAATTCTTGTATTATATTACATGCTTCATCAAATTCAGTATTAGTAAGATGCTCCCCTTGATATTGGGGGTCCAATAAATAAGCAGCATTGTGAGCACATGTATTTATATCAGTTTTTCTCTTTTCAAACATAACCTTAATTTTTTTTCTTGAGATGGAGAAAATATAGAATCATGGCATGATTGTATTATGTGTTTTTCCAAATTAAGCATCTCGTTTTTTACTTGAGCCAAGTACATTTATCCCCTTGCACTTTCAACAATGAGGTAGCTAAAGGTTGGAGTATAGCTAAAAATTTTAAATTTTTCGTCCAAAATTCTTCGTTTGATATATTATTGGTAATTTCTATGGGACAATTATCACAAACAGCTTCTTCAACAACTGATGCTTTTAGAGCTTTCTTGCATATTTGAATTTGCTCCATACATTTTATTGACGATGCCCATCTTGTTTGGCTAATTGTACTTAATGTAGATGGTATGCCATGAAGATTCTTATTACGGGAAAATACTGCAGCTGGTATGTGTTTATTCTTGAAAAATTTAACAATTTTTTTAATTATTGAAATATGGTCACTGAAGGCGTCCAATCGTTCAAAATCGTGAAAGAATAACTGCAATGTATGCGCTGCACAACCATAACATTGTATATGATTATAAATAGATTCAGATTTTAGAATTCTCCAGGCTGCTTTCATGTTAGCGGCATTATCAGTAACTAAAGAATATACTTTTACCGGATTCAATTCATGAATTACATTTTTAAATTCCTGGGCAATATAATCTGCCGTATGGCGATTTTCCTCAGTATTTAGAAATTTGTAGAACACTGGAACAGGCGTCATCACCATAAAATTAATAATACTCTCGTTTCTAATGTTGCTCCAGCCATCTGATACAATTGATAAGTAAGGAGCTTTATCTATTATATCTGCAACTCTCACCTCCATATCACCTGACGCTTTGTCTAGAAGATATCCAGCCAGCTGCCTTCTCCTGGGTAATGTGTAAATAGGACGTATTTTTTTAAAAAATTCTTGGATGTAGGGATTTTCAGTGATGTGGAAAGGTAAATTGCTCGCATATACAGCCTTTGCAAACAATTGATCCAGCTCATTTTTTTCTTTGGGATTAATTCTATCTATGAAACCGGTTATACAAGATTGAGATTTATATTTAATCGCCTTGCTTGTAGATTGATTAGAAATAAGGGAATCAAATTCTCCTGAGTCACAAGACAAAATATTGTTCATTTGATAATCATTCTCACTAATTTCATCCAATTCTTCATTAGAGTTAGACTTAGAAGTATTACAAATTACATTTGTGATATTTTTTGTAGAGGTTGATATTTTGGAATTTGAATAAAATTTTTCCTTAATTATAACAGGGCACATAGTACAGCTGCTTAATAAATGTTTGACCATTCTATCAACGTGGGTGATATAGGACATCTTGCAAAACTTGCACACCGCTTTAACTGATTTACCATCGCGTACTTCTTGAAAATGTTTCCAAACATGATGCTTTGGTTTGACCATAATCCCTAATATATTAAAATTTAACAAAAAATGATTTTGATTATTGTAAAGTTAATCAATCTTAACTATTTTATAATTATCGACCAATTATTCCAATAATTTCTTAATATTATAAATATAATATAATAAACTTTTTACCAGAATTGAATAATATTCCGTAAATCTGACCAGAACAATTAAAATGAAAATTAATTTTAAAAACCAAATATAGCAAGTGTAAGTAAAACAAATGAGAATTAATATAATTTATACTCGGCTAAATATTAAATAAAATTTAAATTTATTAAAAAATAAGAATGAAAAAATTATATTATGATTATAATAAATCGGGTATTTTTATTTTTTTTAAGAAAAATGAATTGAAAAAAATAAAGAAGGCGAGAAACGGCAATGATTAGGCAAAAAAATAACTAAAAATATTACTATATTTAGAAAAATTACATATTTATATTTTAATAAAAAAATAATAAGATTGATAAACATGCTTTTAATGCATACTAGTTAATTATATCAAAATATTTATTCGCCATTAATATTTTAGATTATTTGACCGTATTTGACCAGTCAAATACTCCTCCGGTCAATTGACCAGTCAATTGACCGACATGCCAACCCTGGTTGAAATAAATATTAAAATGCGGATGAACTTGAAATATAAAATTTTCGAGAGGAGATTATACATTAATGAATAAATATTTAACATTAAAAATTAACTAATTTGTGAAAAATTTGAGGAAAAACTAGGATGCCTTGTGGACTCTAAAGTCTATCTATAATTAAAGGAGGGATTTATATTGTACCCTATACTGTCGGTATACAGGGTTCTATTTGGGCGGTAGGCAGAAATGGGAAAGAAATCAGGTGATAAAGGAAGGGGGTGGATGTGCAGGGTTGCCAGATATTCTTCACTTGAAAACGTGAGTTTTTCTTTTATAATAATTAATGGGGTACTTCGCCCCCCATATCACTCAATTTGCGGGCCTTCGGCCCGCTTTTGCCCGGCCTTCAGCCGGGGTAATTGTTGTAGCATACTCTCTAAGTTAATATGCTATATTTAATATAACAAGATTTTAAAGACAATGAAAATTCTTTATTGATTTACTAATAACAATTATGATATATAATTTTCTCATGTTAATAAATATAGCATATTAATTATTATATTTTATGGATGATTTTAAAAGTTTTAAAAGAAGCAATAAAGATTTCCCATCGGCACTGTGGAGATAGGCTGAAAACTCTTTGCATGAATAGTTAATTTTGTTTAACCATAAGTTCAGCTTCCAATGATGACGTTCTTTTCGCCAAGCATTAGACTGAATATTTTCTCTGATGAAGCATTTGAATGCGGAATAGAAAATATAAAATTGCAAATTTTCTCTATCAATGGTTAGTTTTTATTAGAAAGAAAATCCATCCATTTTTCTTGGGTTTTCATATGATAGTTTTTTGATAATTTTTCTCCATAATAGGAGTAAAATTGTGAATATTCCTTCAAAGAGAATTTCTGTATCTATGTTTGGTATTTTATAATCACTAATATTTTTTTGTAATTGTTCAAATTTTGGACATTATTTTAATGTCTTAGGGCTAAGATATTTCCATATATTATTTATAATATCATAACGTTTTTCTACATATTCTATATTTTTTATAAATAGCTTTGATTCATTTTTGAAATTTATTGCCTTTTCTACATCATTATTATGTTGTAGAATATTTTTAGAAATATTCCCATAAAAATTTTGTTGAATTTTTAAATTTAATGAATTCTTTAGTTTTAGAATAAGATCATGTATATATATTGCTAATACACCTTCAGATTGCAATTTATGTTAAACTAAAGTGCCAACGTTAAGGAAAACACCTATATATGCCTCTGCAAAATCATCTCCAAAAATTATTTTCAAAATTGGTGGGGTTGCTGATAATGATAAAAAAATATTCATTAAGGGGTTGAAAATACTTAAGCATCCGCTTAATCGCTGGGATTAATGTAAGCCAGGGTGTTGGAACATGGCGAAGTGAATCTGACCATTCTAAATTGCACCATTCTACCAATTATTTTATAAATGTAACTCTTTTTATCGAGTTGCTAAATTCATTATAGCATTTAATTAATATGCTCTCAATATCATATTTAAGAAAAATTATGGCCTTTTTAAACGAATTGTGAAGAATGTGGCATATACAACCCATTGGTATAATATTATTACTATGACTTTTCAATTCTGTCCAAATACTTTAATTTTTCCCAAAGCTTACAGATGCGTTATCTGCAAAATAGGCAGTTACATTAGCAATATCAAGTTCAGCGAATTTTAAATTTTCTAGCAAGCATCTAGATATGTCTTTAGGGGTTTCACTGTGAGACGAAAAAATTTTAAGTAATTAAACATTTATTCCATTCTTTTTGTTGAAGTATCTAAATAATAAGGAAAATGTTTTTTAGATCTTTTATAATATTTGCCCTTAATTTATTTCATTTAAAATTTTACGAGTTTTAATATAAGATTTATAAAATCTATAAAAGAAATGTATAGTTATTTAAATTCATATTATAATTATACTTGATATACTTTCTAAAAATTGAATTTCTGTTATGGGTAATTGATCTGAATATGATTGGTTAGTTGGACTATTAACAAATACTACAATTTTTTAAAATATTTTTAAATAAAATTAATTTAAAATTTTATATTTGTTTTTAAAAATATTTTTAAAAAATTTAAAAACGTGAGAAAAAGTGTGAGACTAAGTGTGATTATTTTAATTTACTCAAAAAACGTGAGAAAAGCGTGAAGTGTGAGAAAACGTGGGTAAGTAAAAAATTAGGTATGAAATCGTGAGAATCACTGCTAAATCGTGACATCTGGCAACCCTGTGGATGTGCCGTGTAAACCATAAAAGAAATATGAATCAAATGCTTCTGAATATGATAAAAATGTTCTAGTGGAAAAATCGTAAAGCTAAATAAGAGGGGATAAAATAAAATATAAAATTTGGGAGCAAAATGTGATTCGGACGTTATAGAGACAATTATTCGAAATTAGGAATATATACAGAAAAGGTAAAAAGTGTTATAATAAATAAAAAATATTATGGGTAATCATATCACTAGATTCGGGAATAAATTATAACCAGGGAATAGAATACAGGACATGAATTAACATAAGTAATAACAAAATCGCAAGGTAAATGCGGATAATAACAAATATATAAGCGGAGAATAGTTATATATGGAATCACCATTATGTATATGCTGTAAAACGAGGTCAAAGGCTCATAAAAAAAGACGCAGTTGTAGGCGCAGAATTTCAAATTGAGTAAAAGGGGTTAAAAATACCAGGAAAAAACTGAAAAAAAATAGATCAAAAGTTTTATACAATAATATTGGAGGCACAAATAATATTACTTGAATTTATTGTCAAACATTTGATCTATGTTTGCATATTTTTCTATAGATTTAAATCAGGGCTCGAAGCCATTTCAGTAAAGTCACTGTTGTCTAATCGATTTTTATGTATGATATGGCGCAGATTGTCTTGTAAGAATAAAAATCTCTTTGAGGAAACCAAACCAGAGTCAAATCAGTGGGCTCATTCGATAATTATCTAGATATTTGGCTAAATAAACAATTCCTCCAGAAAAATACAAATGCTAGCTAGATTTTTCCCTTATACAACCTCATAACATAATATTGGAAAATTAATTTTCATTTTAAGATAATCAGGTGTTGGCTTTATCTGACTTTCTTACTATAAAAATCTTTATAATTGAATTAGGTAACTTAAGGGAAAATCTGTTTTTATCACTGAGAATTATCTACATTTATTTGGATTTATCCCTAGATTAACCTCATATATAAAGTATCAAAAAAAAACTTAAATTTTTTTTAATTTTTTTCTGTTAATACATTATCAAATAAATTTCTATATCAAAATTTCAAAAAAAATATTTCACTATATGATTTTTTGAATGTTCCAAAAATCAAATATTGGGAAGTAACGTATTCATTTTTTGACAAAATAATTTTGACCATTTTATATGCACACTTAAATCTCTTATTTATCTTGCACCATCAGAAACGATGTTTGACTATTGGCTTTAATTGCCATATGACTTTTCTCTACCTTTCAGATTGAATAAACTGGTTATCTTGATTGGCTAGGAGGGTTATGTTTTTGATATACATTTCTATTAATAGATTGCACAATAAATATTCAGAATAGAAGATAAGACATATATCCACCAGGGGAAATGTGTGTCCGTCAAGCTCTGACAAAACTTAAATAGAATATTAAAGAATAGGCACCACCACGATTTTTTGCTGTGCAGTCGAGGACGATAATCACTCAAAAATCTAATATCCGCTCATCTCATACATTGATTATATGATGTAATAATACTTGGTTGATTGATTTAATATTTATATATATAGAGCTCCATCGCTTGATTTTTAGAGAATATATTCCTTTATGATTGCTTACCACTGTTACTGGACACCATCATTCCAATAACATAAAGCTAATCTTTTTATCACTTAAGTGTTTCATAATCTTCTGGTAATCTTTTTCAGCTTTTGATCCAATGGATATTTTTTTGTTTGATTAATGCGGATTTTTTCTGTACAACCTAATTCTCTTGCACTCTTCAAAAATTTGTGGAAGTAAAGAAATTTATCTACGAATGGTGTATGTTCTCAAACACTAGAACTAGAACTAACATCTATTAATTTTCTCAGGACTCTTTCACCAGATGAATAGGTTCATTATTATTTTTTCAAATATATTAAAAGCAAAAGGATAGATATATATATTTTACACCAAATTTTATCGGCTTTCCTCGCATGTACATATTTATGGTTTGGTTTTCATAATAGGGGAGCATTTGTTCATCCATATTAATTTGAATATCTTAAATTGTTGCAGATTTTGACAAATAATTTCTAAAAATTTTTAGACTTCGTTAACTTCTTAGCTTTATCCTTATCAAAATTGTTAATTTAAATATCGTTTATTCCTTTGAAACGATTTATAGATATTTTTTTTAGAAATAAAATATGAACCTAAATCTTTATCTTGAATAATAAGGCATCTAAAGCTGTTTTTAAATTAGTAATTTCAAGCTATAAAAAATTTAAAAAATGATAAAAAATAAAAAATTGAAATTGAAATTTAGATATAGTTATTAATTTAAATATGGAACATATAAATATTTAACGTTATATCTGAGGCATATGAGCCGGGGTGGCTTAGTGGGTTATGGTGTAGACTTCTTGGAAACAGAAGGTCCCAGGTTCAATCCTGGTAAGGAACATAAAAATTTTCAGGTTTTTCTTCGATGACTGATGTGTAAAGATATATGGTAAGATGAATTTCGGAAGAGATGACATCCCGGGCACCGACAGGCCTGGACAGTCGGGTGCTAAGGATACCTGTCCATTAAACAAAAATGAAGGAAACAAACAAAAATAGGAATATGAAAGCTAGGGTGTTCCCTCCAAGCGACGCACAGGGTGTAGACCCCCATCCTGTGAAAAGTAAAATAAAGGTCAAAACAAAAAATACAAGGTTGACGAGTTTGAATATTGGAACACTTAAAGGTAAGACGAGAGAATTGGCTTCAATGTTGAACAAGATAAAAGTTGATATAGTGTGCTTACAAGAGACGAAATGGAAAGGTCAGAAGACTTTAATGATTGGAGATAGGTATAAATTGTACTATAATGGAATTGTTAGCAATAGGAATGGTGTCAGATCATCCTCAGTCAAGATCTAAGTTCCTCAATAGTAGAAGTCAACATTATCTCTGATAGACTAATGAAGATAAAACTCTGCATTGGTCAATCAATACTACATTTCAGTATATGCTCCTCAAACGGGTAGATGACTTTAGAGCTATCCTTGATGAAACTGTAATAGAAATCCCTAAGGATGACCTAGTCATAATAGGTGGTGACTTAAATGCGCATATGGGAAAAGCAAGAGGTTGCTTCAAAAGGCATCATGGTGGTTTTAGGTGCGGAGAAAGGAATGATGAAGGAGAGCATGTACTGAAATCTGCACAAGCCTTCGACCTTGCCCTAACCAACACCTACTATAGGAAAAATGTATTATCACAGTCTATACCTCAAACAGTCCTGTAGAATATGATATTTGCAGATGATATTGTGATACTTGCCGAATCCAAGGATGAAATGAAAGAAAGATTAGTGAGTTGGATAAATATACACGGACTAAAAGTAAATAGAGAAAAGACGGAGTATATGGTGATAGGAGGAGATGAAACAGAGAGCATTGATATAAATGAATGGCAGATATCGGCAATTGAAAGTTGCAAATATTTGGGTTCCACTATACAAACAAACGGCACAATAGAGAAAGAGATTAAAGTAAAATTAATCAAGGATGGTTAAAGTGGAGATCTTTATCTGGAATGCCCTTTGACAAAAGAATCCCATACAAATGGAAGGGAAAAATTTACAGTTCCATATTACAATCAACTATTCTATATAGTTCGGAAACATGGTCAACCAAAGAATCAGACGAGAAAAGTCTACAAACTATGGATATGAGAATGCTGAGGATGATTGCTGGGGTAACAAGAAAGGATAAAGTGCGCAGTACAAGAATACTAGGAAGTTTAAAGGTAGTGCCCAGACTAAGATAATGGTAAACAGACTTAGGTGGTATGAGCACACAAAGGCCTATGAACTACATAGGAAATAAGGTTGAGAGTTTGGAAGTAATGGGCAAACTTAAAAGAGGAAGGCCAAAACTTCAATGGGGCCATAAAGTTAGAGCCAATATGAAGAAGTAAATATGATAAAGAAATAGTATGAATAACATTAAGTGGAGAGAGATATTGAAGGAACTTACCACCAGAAAAGGTGAAAGCTAAAGAGGGAAAAAAAATATCTGAGGCATATAAATACCTCTGAGTTTAAAATTTTAAAGAGTTATAGTTTGAGATATGTGTTATTAGAATATAACATATTTTTTAAATGATAGTTTTATCTAAACTAATTTTTTTTAAGTTTTATTTTACAGATTAAGAAATAGATTTTCAAAAGATTTTTTTTAAAAAAATTTTTAATCAAAATTTTTGATTTCATCTTGAAAATTTTTTAATTCATGAAAATAAGCAAAACGTTTTTTTATAAATGATTTTTGAAAAAAGAAATGGCATTTTTAATTAGAAAAATCGTATATAAACCCTTATTTTTATATATTGTGTTGCTAATCGGCTAATTTTAGCCGACTAAAAACGGCTTAGCCGAGATTTTAGGTGGAAAAATCGGCTAAGCCTAATTAGGTATAGCCTAAAAATCGGCTAAGCCTAATTAGGCTAAGCCTAAAAATCGGCTAAACCTAATTAGGCTAAGCCTAAAAATCGGCCAAACCTAATTAGGCTAAGCCTAAAAATCGGCTAAGCCTAAAAATCGGCTAAGCCTAAAAATTGGCTAAGCCTAAAAATGGGCTAAGCCTAAAAATTGGCTAAAATAAATTAGTCAAAATTCTGCATCGATGCTTAGCATTAATTATTATTTATTTATTTTAGTAAAATAATTTATTTTATTTATATTTAATGTAAATATTTTATTATTATCAACAAATAAACATGATATGATTTAATATTTTTTATTTATATTATTATATTTTGAAATGAAAATAAATTTATTTATTTGATGTTTTTTTAATAAAAAAAATAATATGCTGCTATATTGTAAAAATGTAATATTCTTTATAATATAATTTATTAGTGATTTTCACAATCTTCTTTGTAAATACATCTTTTATTGAGGAATTATATTGTAAATTTTATTAGATAAATAAACAATCTTTTAGGTGAAATCTTTTATCATTTTTTTAAAATTATCTATTTATTATTAAATAAGGTGGATTTTATGAAACTTTTTTGATGTTATTTTATATGATCTAGTTAAGGATAATATTTTAATGTGACAATTGTCATAATCGTTCTTTTATAAGTTTTTTGAATTTTTTTGAAGGAAGTATGTTAAAATAAGTATTAATAACATGTGTAAATACAAATTTAGTGAAGATGTACCAGTGAAAAGTGACAATTGTCATAATCGTTATTTTTAAAGTTTTTCGAATTTTTTTGACGAAAATATGTTAAAATAAGAATTAATAACATGTGTAAATATAAATTTAGTGAAGATGTACCAATGAAAAGTGACAATTGTCATAATGGTTAATTTTAAAGTTTTTTGAATTTTTTTGACGAAAATTTGTTAAAATAAGTATTAATAACATGTGTAAATATAAATTTAGTGAAGATGTACCATAGAAAAGTGACAATTGTCATAATCGTTATTTTTAAAGTTTTTTGAATTTTTTTGACGAAAATATGTTAAAATAAGCATTAATAACATGTGTAAATATAAATTTAGTGAAGATGTACCAATGAAAAGTGACAATTGTCATAATCGCTATTTTTAAAGTTTTTTGAATTTTTATGACGAAAATATGTTAAAATAAGTATTAATAACATGTGTAAATATAAATTTAGTGAAGATGTACCATAGAAAAGTGACAATTGTCATAATCGTTATTTTTAAAGTTTTTTGAATTTTTTTGACGAAAATATGTTAAAATAAGTATTAATAACATGTGTAAATATAAATTTAGTGAAGATGTACCATAGAAAACTGACAATTGTCATAATCGCTATTTTTAAAGTTTTTTGAATTTTTTTGACGAAAATATGTTAAAATAAGTATTAATAACATGTGTAAATATAAATTTAGTGAAGATGTACCAATGAAAAGTGACATTTGTCATAATCGTTAATTTTAAAGTTTTTTGAATTTTTTTGAAGAAAATATGTTAAAATAAGTATTAATAACATGTGTAAATATAAATTTAGTGAAGAAGTACCAATGAAAAGTGACATTTGTCATAATTGTTATTTTTAAAGTTTTTTGAATTTTTTTGAAGAAAATATGTTAAAATAAATATTAAAAACATGTTTAAATTAAAATTTAGTGAAGATGTGCCATAGAAAAGTGACAATTGTCATAATCGTTATTTTTAATTTTTTGAATTTTTTTGACGAAAATATGTTAAAATAAGTATTAATAACATGTGTAAATATAAATTTAGTGAAGATGTACCAATGAAAAGTGACAATTGTCATAATCGCTATTTTTAAAATTTTTTGAATTTTTTTGACGAAAATATGTTAAAATAAGTATTAATAACATGTGTAAATATAAATTTAGTGAAGATGTACCATAGAAAAGTGACAATTGTCATAATCGTTATTTTAAAGTTTTTTAATTTTTTTTGACGAAAATAGTTAACTTGCATCGATATGGATTTTAAAATAGAAAAAAAAGTTTACCCAAATTTTAAACAAGATTGTCTGGTGAAAATTGGTAAAAAAATAATAATTTCTAACTTAGGATTAGATATTATGATATAAATTTTACATATTAATTTCTGACCCGATGAACAAATGTAATAAAATGCCAATTTGCTCCTGTTTTTGGGGAAGAATCTATTATTACCACATGTTTTTCTATGGCATATACTCAGGCAATTTTAATTTTACAATCTATATTTTTACCCATTTACACCAAAGAAATTTCAAAAATAACGATTATGACAATTGTCACTTTTCTATAGTACATCTTCACTAAATTTTTATTTAAACATGTTATTATTACTCATTTTAACATATTTTCGTCAACAAAAATCAAAAAACTTGAAAAATAATGATTATGACAATTGTCGCTTATCTAGAGTACATCTTCATTAAATTTTTATTTAAACATGTTATATATACATATTTTAAAATATTTTCGTCAAAAAAATTCAAAAAACTTTAAGAATAACGATTATGACAATTGTCACTTTTCATTGGTACATCTTCACTAAATTTATATTTACACATGTTATTAATACTTATTTTAACATATTTTCGTCAAAAAAATTTAAAAAATAACGAATATGACAATTGTCACTTTTCATTGTCTTCACTAAATTTATATTTACACATGTTATTAATACTTATTTTAACATATTTTCGTCAAAAAAATTCAAAAAACTTTAAAAATAACCATTATGACAATGTCAATTTTCTATGGTACATCTTCACTAAATTTTATTTAAACATGTTATTAATACTTATTTTAACATATTTTCTTCAAAAAAATTCAAAAAACTTATAAAATAACGATTATGACAATTGTCACTTTTCTATGGTACATCTTCACTAAATTTTTATTTAAACATGTTTTTAATACTTATTTTAACATATTTTCTTCAAAAAAATTCCAAAAACTTATAAAATAACGATTATGATATTTGTCACTTTTCTATGGTACATCTTCACTAAGTTTTTATTTAAACATGTTTTTACTACTTATTTTAACATATTTTCTTCAAAAAAATTCAAAAAACTTTAAAAATAACGATTATGACAAATGTCACTTTTCATTGGTACATCTTCACTAAATTTATATTTACACATGTTATTAATACTTATTTTAACCTATTTTCTTCAAAAAAATTCAAAAAACTTATAAAATAACGATTATGACAATTGTCACATTAAAATATTATCCTTAAAAAGATCATATAAAATCATCAAAAAAGTTTCATAAAATCCACCTCATTTAATAAAAAAGATAATTTAAAAAAAATGATAAAAAAATTATAAAAGATTTCACCTAAAAGATTGTTTATTTATCTAATAAAATTTACAATATAATTCTTCAATAAAAGATGTATTTATAAAGAAGATTGTGA